AATAGAAAAAGACCGATTCTTTGAGTTCATCCAGTGTGTACACACTAATTCCTATTATTATATATCCACTAATTTAGACATTATATTTTTTCGCAAAAATTTATGTTGTTTTGCTATCAATTTTTTTCTAATTTAACAACATTTTGCCACATTAGGAAATTATTTATAGCGTTTTTGACAGATTCATAAAAACCTATTTCACTCCTATATTTCTAACACTTTCTTATATTTATTCTAATATGAATGGTATTAAAGTCAGATAATTATAAATAATTGATTTCAATGCCTATTTCTACTAATATTCCACAAAAATATGGGATAAGGGAGAGTTTGAGGGGAAGAAGTTTCTTCTCAGATGCAAATGTTTATTATAAATTCAAGTTGCTTCTTTTGTTGTCATCCTTTTTACAAACATTAAATACATTTTAACCAATCAATTTAACGTCATATAATTTTCTCCTAATTTTTCCTTCAATTTATTAGTTTAGATAAAATTATCGATGGGATCGGATCAATCCCTTATGAGGTTACAAGTACGATTTTTTACATTTTTGGGTTATGAGTTTGGTATCCAATTAACATTAAAATGTTCAGTTTTTGTCAACATTTTCAACTTGAAAACCTGAATTTTCAAATTTTCTTTTTATAGTTTTTTTTCGAATCAAGGAACGCGAACCAGATTTACTTAATGAAGCTCTTGAAACAATCATAAGTACCTATGCGAAACATCGGTAAAGATTACGAAAATGTTTATTTCCTTGCTACAACAACCAACTTTTCCTAACAAAATTGCTGAAAAAACTTGCTTCAAAATATTTGTTAATATGTTTAAATCAAGGGAAAATAATATAATTTAATTTAAAGTTACGAATATGTCTTAGTAACAATGACAGTGTAGCTTTCCAGAATAACAGAATCACGTCATTTTTGGAATCCAACGAACGTACCATCTTATTATTAATTCATAGAATTCTTTTAAAATTATGAGTTTATATTTTAATATTTTGCGCAATTTTGCAAACAAACAATTAGCCAGCTTTTTATTCATCGGACCATCATCCTGCTGAAGACCCTTTTTGTCGTTTTTTTCTGAACATTAAGCATTTATTATTAAATTCCTTGATTAAGCAAAGGATAAAAAATATTTTGAAGACCAACTCAAAAACCAGTCAAAATTTGGTCTTGGCACCCGACCCATTCCCGAAATTATTAGGCATTAAAGGTTTGCAAAACGTTAATCTGGGGCAAAAAAAGATGTTAATATTGAAAGTTGGCGCAGAAAATAAATTTAGCAAAATGCAATAAAAGCCAATTTTTGCATTTTGAAACCAAAAGTCAACGAAATAAGTGAACAATACTAAGCACGATCCTCTCAGGGCGTGACACACGAGTTACTATATCGATTTAATATTGGTAATTGATGCCCAAATGTCAAACACTGGTCTTCGATAAAATTGGTATTGGACTTTTCGTGCACGGTGAATGCATAGAAAATACCTATCCTTGATGATGCAATTGGTTATCTGTCCATTAAATTGATATTAACTAGAGTGCATTAACTTATTTCATAATTTTCGTGATATATTGTATGTTGCAAAAATCCAAAGCTATTATTAGTAAGCACTTTGCCTTTACGGCTTGTAATCGAGCCTGGCACCTTTCCTTGCCGATTTTTGCTTGATACCGGAGCAAGTAAGCACATTTTTCTTTATGTAGATCCCGCGAAAGTTGTTCTAAGACAATTTCCCTATACTCAGTAAAGCTTAACCAAACAAACGCACATTCGATGCAGCTGGAGGCAAAACGTAAGAAAATCTATCATTTAAAGCGGTAGGCAGATTTGATAGATATCTCTGTGAAAGATTTAGCACCTTTTACTTCGACAATAACGTAACAACACCAAAAAAAACTACAACTAGTCTGCGCTATGTAATATGTAAATTAGCTAGGATGGTGTTAAAACCCGTAAAAAACTCAATGTAAAACATAGGAAATGAAGCGAAAAGAAAGCGATGAAAAGCGTTTATTGAAACACGTGCCAACTATGTTAATACGAAGCAGTTGCAAATAGCAAAAGTAATTGCAATTTGGATTACTAAAAGTTGTTTTCCACGAGAAAGTTTTTAATTTGATAGGGGAGAACTGTAGCAAGTTCACTGAGTTAATTGATTTTCCTCCCTGGATACCATTGGGATACTTAATGCAAATCAAGCTGCATTCAAAGCTGGTCTAGTGATCTCATAGGGAAACATACGATGTCTCTAAATTGATAATAGAGAAATGAGAACATCTTTTTTAGTTCCAGACAAAAAAAAATTGCGTACTAATTTCGGTGTGATACACCGGAACACGAATTGCGTTGTTTTCTCAACCCCCTGATTATTGCATTGTCAAACGACCAACTAACTTATGAGGATTGTTCTTTTGTAAAAAACATTATAATGTTGCATGTATGGTTTCCAAGCAGAAATTGTTTTCGCTTCGTTTCATTCAAAAGTCTATGGCACTTTCCCAAGTTTATTTTTAAGGATCTTTCCAATTCTAGATACAAGTGGCGCAGTTGGTAGGATTATTTTTCTGACGGATTAGTGCAAATAGTCTCCTCGTCGTACACTGAGGCCGAATACAAAATGTCTTGAGCACACTTTGTTTCAACAGTTAACAACTTTTTTACCCACAAAGACATTACTTAAATTTCGGATGAAAAGTTTGTAAAAGAACTTTCTAAAATGAAAGTCTAAAAAACACATTCAAATATGTACAGAGTTGTTCATAATCATGTGTACTTTTGGGGCGTGTTTGGTATGTAATTGTGAAGGTTTTTTCAGATAAATTACTCTAATTTGAGTCTGGTGGTTTTCTTTTTGTAAAAAATGTTAAACTGAGCTTGCATTTTCGACGAAGTTAACGTAGTATACCAGAAGGAAAGCAGATTGATTTGAGCGTTCAACAAATTCTTATTAAAATGTCCAGCAACCAGTAATTACTAATGATAAAATAACTTTAAATAGAAAAAGCTACAGAAAAAACACATGAAAATTGTATTTTAGCTCGTTCTTAAAATAATTACATATCATTATAAAATACTCTGTATATCAGAAGATTGTGAATTGTAAATTTGGAAGATATGGCAGATTGAAACAATTAGGAAATCTCGAAATCCTCCATATTTTTTAAATATTTTTTGAGCCAACATACAGATTTTAGTACATTTATGGATTAAAAAAAAAACTCAATACTCTATGAATTCAGCCTGATTAGTTTCACTGAATAACTTATTATTGAAAAAGTCGAAAAGTGATGTTCATAACACTTAGGCCAAAAGTTTGAACCCAGATATGATAATGCTGATTTATTTATTTAAATGTATGTTTTACATTGGAATGCTTACATACGCCAATAATAGATACAAATACACAAATAAAAACGAAACAACAAAATATAGGATTATACAAATTAAACATTAATAAATAATTAATCAAACTATGACAAATATATCCCAAAAGTAATATAATGAAATATATTGCTGTAATAGTTCTTACTGCCTTTACTTAATTAAATATGTGATCCATTAAACAAAATAATTGCATAAAAATACTTATGATTTTTATGTTTATCCGATTTTCTAAGCCATTTGAATCAATCATATGAATGAATGCCGTGTAATTTATTATGGCAGGCAAAAAACAGTTTTAAATTACAGCACATTTATGGTCGTGTCTCGTAGAGCATTTTTTGACAAAAAAACATCTGGATTGAAGCTCCCATTCAATATACAAATTTGCTAAGAAATGTAATTTAAAGTTTACATTACTTAAAAGATGTGTATTTATTCTTACCACTCATTTACCAAAATAGAGGCATTTGCTGCCAATAGCGAAGGAAACAGTATACATAATAATAGGTATATTTCCTTCCTTCTGGATAATAAATAATATGTGTTTAGTTTTTTGTAATCCAAATCGATTATTAGGAATAATTCAAAATTGATTACAGGATGTTGATTTTTGCAGTGGCAGTTTGTCTAATCATTCGCCAGTACCTAGTTATAATTCACTTACAGGTTTCAGTTATAATGGCAAGTTTCCCATATGAAGTGAGATTAGTCACAAATCAAATACGAATTGATTAACATAATTTCCAAGCGAACAAATTTTCAATTTGAAATGAAAATAATTTAAATAACCTATTACAATGTGCCCGAAGGAAAATTTCGTGAAGCAAATATGCAATCGGTTTTTTTAACACGGGAGAATCTAATATGAAACAAGCGTATGCGGAAATTCGTATAAATCATTTCTACTAGCCAGTTTTATCGCAGTCTATATTTGCAGATTTCTCATATTAATTCAAACAACCGCTTTACATGCTCTTTGCTATGCCGCAATCCGATCAATTTTGTTTATTCAAATTTACCACCGATCTACGTGAGCCAATTTAAAATTATGCAGGTATGTGAGGAAGCATTGGTAATGGAAATACAAAGCCAACTCGCTTCTGTGTGTGATGCCTGAAACTACTCGAAAAATTAACATGTAGGAATTTGTGCAATGGCAGTTGTGTGGTGAAGTTTTGCAATTTTTCAATGTTAATCTGTCCAGATTTTGTCTAGTTTTGAGGTAACAAAAAATAGTAGAACGTTCAAAGTTGTGGTGGAACTCAACTCTTCTTCATTAAAACTGCGTGTTGAATGTTTCTTTTTCAACTTTGTGATTAAGTTTATTTTTAGTGCCCGAGAAAGAAATGTTCAAAAATTGGTTGACATCAAAACACATTTTTTACGACAAAAATATTTATTTTAGTAAACAAACGTTTTAATGTAAAGTTTTTGAATAACAGTTGAGTTTTGAGCTTCTGGTTCAGTGAGTTTGCCATGTCATTAGTATGCACTTTGGTAAAAAAAACATATGTTAAACTGCTAACACTTTTGTTTAAAGTAGCTAGGAAGCTACCAGATTTCCCACATTTATTGTTATTTTCAGCAATTAATTAAAACGTACCTGGAAGATTTATTCCAGACATCAGCAGTTTATCGGGAAGTTCCGATATATTTCTAGGCCTAGCGATTTCCATTTTCTTATTTGTTGCTCCTGAAATAAAAAAATGAATGTATGGTAAAAAGTGTCAGAACGTTGTTAAAACATGAATTATGTGTTAATAAACATTGCATCCTTTTAATGGTAATATATTTCAATAATTTCTATTGCAACGGATTACAATACTGAAAAATAGCCTAACGCATAAATACGTTTGTTCATTAAAAAAATCCGAACATTTCCAATTTTCAAAACCATGTAAATTTGAACGCCATGTAATTTAGTTATCTTTGCAACAACACGAACTTTTCACACTTTTAAATACGAGAGAAGCTTAGTTACAAATTTTCGATTTGGTGAGCGGAATAAACAGTTTGTGAAGAATAATTAAAGAAACATACGAAATAATATCAATGGTTCAAGATGCTCATTTAAAAAGTAAATTTCATTTTGCATTATTTTTGCTAGATTTGCTTTTCATTATACTACAAGAAATTTGATTGATGATTTCTTTAGAAACCCAGTGTTTTTTCAAACACCCTGCTTCTTATTAGGTAACATTTAGGCAACTGCAAAACATTTCTAGCCTCCAACTATTTTACTGCAAATTTGAGTTATACTTTTTCCATTTAGCGCTTTTGATAAAGCAAATGGTTGAATCTTTAAACACAATTATTGTACAAATCGCCCTCATTCATCATCAGTAATAAATATATATTTTTCAAAGCTGATATGATTGCAAATACTAATTCGAAGCATTGCATATACTAAATGTCTAAATGTACTAATATTGCAAAAACAATGTCAGTTAACTTTCTTGTCACAATAATTGTTCATTATTTTATATAAAGTTTGTGGCACTCGTTGTGGCGTATTTCAACCATTAAACGTTGATATATTAGCTATTTAGCCAAGTAAACCAGGACGTCTGCATGTATTCTCTTAACAGATATGTTAATCTTCCTTCGCCATTTTCAGCACGCCATCTGCAGCACTTGATGAGGCATAAAACTTAACACACTATGAAAACATAAACAATCACATTTAGCAATTGCTATTGGAATCCTATAGAGATACGCGTCTTGAGCTTTTACAGTTATAAACCGAGAAGATGAACTTTGCCAGATATCCATCGATCTAAACTTGTATGTGAATTGGTTGTTTTCCAAAAAAAGCGAATTCCCTCTGAACTGTGGGTGTAAACTAGATTTTAAAGCCAGTTGTATGAAAATGACCGCAACATCAACATCATTTTATTGTTTGCTCTAGCAACTACACAATAAATAAATACTGATGATAATTAGAGCTTCTGGACAGAGCGCCTCTTCTAGGTATTGAATTGAACAATACAGCTCTTCCTGTAATTCCTCATGCAATGTATCCAATTTCACTGAATAAACACGGGCGGAACCAGCATAAAAATGAAACAAAAAGTATATTTGATCGTCGATATCCTATGACAATATTAGCTGCCATAGACTACCGCAATATAATACGAGAGATGGGAATACAATAGTCGATAACTAAACAATAGGCGTGGGAAAAAGGTGTAATGGTTTTTGGCAATAGTGAATCAGGAAAATTTTACTGTTTCTCTCAAGAGTTTCTTGGCCTGGGTTTAATGCCTATTTAGTTTACTTTGTTCGTTTAGATGATCTTATCTTCGGTTTCAAAATTTGAATTAAAATGAGAACCCATCGGTGTGAAAGATTAAGTTTGCTTATTGTTGCCATTCAACCAACGTTTGGAAATTCGCTTCAAGCACGAATATGCTTTTATCAGAATGTCCGATGTTAATTTTTGCATTACGGAAATGAGCTGTTTTGCATGCAATATTTTATATTCAAGATCTTAGCAACTTATCTTCCAATTCCCATGTCTTTGACAAACAGTTTTGGTTTTCTTCTTGTTGTCCTCTTGATTCCCGCGAAAAAGTGGCCTTTTTCTTCGTTTTGACAGTTCATTTGAAATAAATCACATAAAACTATAAAATTGGTATCAATATTTCAAATTAATTCAAATAACTTCGGGAAACAATCATATCCGCTTCTCAATTCTCAATTAACATTTTCATTGCACACTTCTATTTGTTCAAATGCAGTCTCAGTCGTTCAAGTTAATAATAATAATAAAAAGAAAATAAAAAAATACAAATTGTCCAAGTGGTTAATTCTAGGATCGTTCGTGTTGGCCACGTTTCATAGGATCATTAGTAATGTTCGCTTAACCTGTTTACAGCTTTATTTAATGATTTTTTGAGCCAATATTGATAACACAAATGTTTTTGGCTATTTCTTCTCGGGTGTTATTTAAATTCTTTTTTCTACGAGTTGGTTGTGCCCGATTTTCCATTGACATTCTAAGGTTCTATTCTAAGGTAAAAATAGGTTTTAAGAAGCAATTCACCCAAGAATATTTATAAAGCACTTCTCTACGTATGTTTATACAACTAGTACGAATCCAATGCCAAAGCCGCTGTAAATTTATCAAACTTATTTGTACAACTGCAACGCTTTAGCGTTTATTTCCAAAACCTGAATATTTATAGATTTAAGTTGATACATCTTAAATGCAGGATATTGAGTGACAAAATTTATACTTTGTCGCATTTCCACAGCAGAAAAGTACAAACTTTCCAATTTTTGCACATATTCGTTGCTTTCAAGGTTCAAGTTTCGAAAGTTTTCGAAAAAAGAAGTCTACCGTATATATAAAATTATATCGATCTAAAACTAGTTGAATTAATTGATTATTATTTAGCTGGCTTTCATGTGTAGGTACTATTCTGTACTACTTATTTATCGAACAAGACATTAACATTGATAGAAACTGCTTACCGAGCTCTATTGTTCAGGTAGTCATTGTTAAGCAGATAATCTTAAATTCCACAAAAATCGGCGCAATTTTTTCCAGCTAAACTAGTCCAAGAGAAAAAAACAACATCAACCAAACGAGACCGCAGCCGCATTTAAACTAATCCATTCATTGCCATAAAGTTTCCGTTTTAACTAATTGAATTGTATAAAGGATAGTAAATTTAACTGGCTCGGTTAAACATTATATCAGACCCGTATTTATAATGTTTAGATACCAACAACTAGTAAAATACATGACGGTTATGGTGAGTAACTGTTTGTTGATTGGGCGGGTAATTAATATGTTTGGAATAAATTTTAATTTACATATTCAGCGATCAATATTTGTTTTAAAACCTCAACAGAATATATCTTTCAAATAAAGAGACTTATAAGGTTTTTATGTACAGAATAAAAAATATGGATAACTTATATTAACATTTTTTATTTATATCCTAAAAGACTAGCGCATTTTTTCGTTTTGTAACTGAATCACCATCAATATTCAGGCAAATTTTCTTCTGTTAGTTGTTTTTTCAAAGAGCAATTTCAAATTTTTTTGTTGAACATTCAACATTTCCTACTGAAGATTATTATTAAATCAAGAAGAGATAATCCTTATGTATTCACATATACATTCCGTATTTTGTGATGTAATTGATGGGGATTTCCGGAGGACATGTATAAATGCGTGATTATCTTTTGAAAATTGCACCGTTACTGATTTTTACTGTTACTGATAGCTTATTAATAATAAATTAGTCTTAACAAAAAGAGCACTGGTTTTTACGTACGGTTTGAATTAGCACAATTAACCATTTCTTATGTTTAATTGAAATTTATCGAATTGAACCAATTAAGAAGCCAGGACATGCTAAGTAGTATTGATACATTCAACATTAAACCTAAATTTACACAACTTCATGGGTTTTGTCGTAATGGAAAATATAAGCTCTTATTGCTAAATTTACTGCATACATGCTAAGAAAGGGAATTTTCAAAATTAATCCACGTGAAAGAGTCCCTTCCTTAAAATGTCCTGAAGAGCAGGATTGTGTATAAATCGTTCAGATAGATAAATAAATTGTAAATGTTGGTACAATGCGATCCCCATAGAAAGGCAAATGACCACCTGCCATTAAGGATTATGAAATGTCGGCCAACGTGGGTGTTTACTAGAGCAATATTGTGCTCAGTAGGTAACATTATCGGTTCATTCAATGGAAACAAGTGGAATAACCTCATAAAACAACAAAAAATAGCAATCTGGCTTCAAATTACTAAGAACTGCGGACCGCCTAAACAGGTGGGCCGAAATGATATTCATTTATTCGCATTCTTGCCACGGTTTACAAATCTCCATCACGTTGGTGTCGTTTAAAGACCACATTGGGTTGCATACTTCCTTGCGTAAGCGCCGATTTTTTCCCTGATTTTGCATACCTTGCGACCAGATCTGCAATACCCAATGGGAGCTTGCTCTACTCGACCAAAATGAGCATGGAATCTATCTTTTTTGGTGATAATCTGATTTTTGGTGCTTACAGCGCCTAAGCTTACTTATGTTCTACGAAGAAGCAGTTTATTCAAACTGAAATGATCCAAAATCAATTAACCTTTTTAAACACCATACAGATCGCCACAAATCATCTAGTAGTATCGAAACGAATTGACAAGAAATTATGCAACCCAATAAAATGGCTTTGAATGGACGGTATTTAGGTTACAAATAGTAGTAAAAAGCCAGTTCAAGAGCTTCAAGAATTCCATCACATATTCTATTATTCATTACCTAAATGTGCCAATCGATTATCTAACGCCAATAAAACGCCCCATAAATAATAGATTCCCCATTCCATCAGGCTCTGACTCCGAATTTAATTTGCGTTTTATATTCCCAGTGGTTTTTGTTCTTTACTTACATACTTTACCGCACATCCGGAAGCTATTTAAATTTTATTAGTTTCGTAAATAAATCTCGTTAATATGAATTTAGATGACTTCAAGTAGAACATAAATCTTCCGGCTAAATATATTCAAATTGATGGGAAAAACTGTTCAATAATCACCGTGTTTCGCTTGGCAGGTGTGTGTTTAACATTTCTGGCAGACGGCATTAATAAATATTCAATTTTCACTATTAAACACATTAATCGTGGGTTGATTGATTGATTTTCCATATTTTGTACATTCTTGTAT